GAATGATCGTTGCAATAGTGTCGTAATCGCTGTTCACAAGACCTGATACAAGGTGGATTACGAGTTTTTGCTCGGTTATGGGTTGATCAACAACAGCTAGTTAGTCCTTTAGGTTCTTCAATTGATGGCAGTAGCTTGAAATGTCCGTAAAATTGGAAAGGTGAAGCGTATTGAACTGGTTTTCGAGGTAAACAACCCTCGTATTTTTATTGTCTTGAAAGATATCCTTTAATTTATTCCACAGTTCAGAGTCACCTTTGCACAGGACGGTTTGGAGAAGGTCGATCGAGGTAGTACCATATATCCATTGCTTGACAATAGAGTCAAGTCGCAACCACAACAACGATGAAATATCAGTCGGTTTTTGAAGGGTGGAGTCAATGTGATTGAGGACGTTAAATGCGTGACAATGAACCTCGAATAGCTCCAGCCAATTTGAGTATTGAATTTTTTCTCGATCAAGAATCAACGGGATTGGATTCTTGATATTATTAACCGAAAGGGCCGGGTGGTATTCCGTTGAAGGTGGAGGAGGAGACAGGGGATTGTCGGAGTCCTTAGCCATGGAGTAAGGCCGAAATCAAAGAAGTGAGAAAAACAAAAAGCTGGTGCGGAAGCTTAATGATGGCACAGTAAAAATGTCCCAATTAAAAAACTAAAAAATAAAACCAAATTTTGGAAAAAATAAAAAATTGAGATCTAAAACCTAAGTTGTGATACCATATTAGATTTCGGGAAAACTCCTCGACTTGGAGTGTGTACCATTGATCAATATATATAGAGTTTACAATCCTAGTCCTAATCATGTTAGAAAACCTAATACGATAAGGATACAAAATATACATAACATCTATTCTAATATGCGATAAATATTATCATAATTATAATTTCTATCAAAATGATAAAATAAAGGAAAATTTGAGTTTCATAATCTAATCATTAAGCAATTTATTTTTAAGAATCCAATGATTAAAAAAAAAAATCAGGTTATGTACAGATGTGTGTTGATGAAAGCATAATATTACCTGTAACTATATATTAATACAATTATGTAAGAATACATCAATACTACGTATCATATTGTTCAACTTAAAATAAATAGCAAAAATACAAGGAGTATTTATTAACACAAAAAGATGAAGGAATACAAAGGACATAAAATAATTATACATAAAAAAAATTTATTACAAACTTTCATAATTTATTATGTTGGAATTTAGAATAATTTTGCAAAGGAATTTTGTTAAGAAGTGCCGAATAGTCGCTTCATCCGCATAACTTCCTTTTGACTCAAAAGTGTGATTTTCTGGGCAATGTCAGCAGGTAAGTTCCCAACAAATAAGGCGGTGGGAGTGAGTTGTAGTGCAGGGTTTGCTCCATTCAAACTAACAAATGCAGTAGCCGGAGTTTTGCCAACGTTGATTTGGAAGTGAAGCATGGCTTGTGGAAACACCATTACATCACCAACCTCTAATCTTTTATAGTATGCGGTGTTGTTGGTATCAATAAATCCAGCAATGATTGAACCTTTAACCAAAATAAGAACTTCTGACGTACGATGGGAGTGTACTGGAATTACTCCTCCTACGGCGAAGTCTAACCTGGCCATAGATATGCCTAAACCATTAAAGGCTGGGAACACATCTGAAAATGCTAATGTCACATTGTTTCCAAAAACATTGTTAGGAGTTTTTTCACCACGAAAACCTGTGTAAACAAAATCATCAGTTGTGACTTTAGCAGGATCTTTGCAACCATATCCTTGAGGTCCTCTCGGAAGACTAGGATCCCCGACACAAAAGTCGATCTCTATGGCATGAGATAGAGTGGCTAAGAGACAAAAGACGACGAAATAAGAAAGGTTGTTCATCGTGTAAGCTTTTAATATCTAGAAAGGTGGTGTATGGTGGTGTTAGATCGTTAACTTAATACTAATGTAAGTATTGAAATGTAGATATATAATGTTGTGGATTGGTTTGTTGTATTTTCTTAGAGGCAATTGGTACCCTTTATATAGAGGAAATATTTGGTCAGTCTGGCACTATGGCTTGTTTTGTTCAATTCGTAAAGGGTGTGATATTCTTTATTTGGTATGAAAGTCAAAGAAATACGTGCTTTGCATTTAAAGAAGTGATTAGCTGCGGCTGAAAATCTGTCTTTATTTTTTTAAGTCCAATTTTTGTCAGCGTTGTTGTTTTATTGACTTGAATATTTCTTCAATTAAACTTTCTCGAAATGGTATGTATCACTTTAATAAAATAACATTATCTTCAATTAAATTGTATGGGTTTGATTAGGAATTTAGGATACTCTTTGTAAAAATATTATCTTCAAATTTCACATTCAAGCTTCTAGGGTTCCGGAAATCTTGCCTACGCTTTGTATTTTATTTCTAAATAATTACTTGTATATAAGACCAAGTCAAGTTTTCTTCAAAAAAACAAAAAAAAAAAAAAAACAAAGGACCAAGTCAAGTTGACGAGACTATATTCGATATATAATTATGCTATTGTAAATAACTAAAAATTAGGATTGCACTATATAATTTTTGATGACCCGCTCAGTTTTTAAAATTAATAGTATTTGAAATATAAAAGTTTCTATTGATATGTAACTCAATAGTTATAAATATATGAATTAATAAATTCTTAAGCAATTTATTAATTTTGTGGAACTAAAAAGAGATAAAAATAGAGTTTAGGAGAGTAAATTTCCTCCCAAAAAATCTCCACTTTAGTATTGGTATATAGACAAGGTGATATTTTATATTGTGGAGGGTATTATTTTATTTAATTTTTATTTTTAATAATATTAGTGTATATTGGAGCACATTCATCTCATCTAGGGATGGCAACGGGCCGGATCTGGACCGGATCTGTCTGGATCCAGATGCATATCCGTTTTCAGACCTTGGATCCAGATCCGTCGGATCTGGATCTGGATCTGAACACGAGGATCCGTATCCAGATCCGTCGGATCTGCCAGATCTGGGTCCAAAACGGATCCTTTTGCTTTTATATGAATTTCTTAATAAAAACAACAATTTTTATAAAACAAAATCCAATAATCCCAACATTCCCAAGAAGCAAAGTAGCTGAATCTAATAGCAAAATAGCAGCCACCAGCCAGCATTAGGATTGAAAGTTTGAAACACAACAACACCAAAGGACAACAGCAGCACTAAAAAGATCACCAAAGCAACAAACAACAAAGCAGCTCTCTGAATTGTTAAAACTCTGCTTGTTTCTACTTGGGTGATAGCAATTAGTACAGACCATAAACATTGAGAGCCAAAGAGTAAATGATATATATATATTTTTTAAAAACGGGTAAACGGATCCGGATTCGGATTCCAAAGTGAGATACGGATCCAGATCCGTTTTTCAGCAGTGGATTCGGATCCGGATCCGGATCCGTCGGGTCCAAATTTTCAGGATCTAGATCCGTCAAAAACGGATACGGGTCCGCAGATCCGGATCGGATCTGGATCCATTGCCATCTCTATTCTCACCAATTAATTGAGATATAGACAACATCGCCCAATGCCAATTTCCCTTAACTAAGCTAAACTTAGGGAACTAATACCTAATCACTTTTATCTTTGTTATAAGAATAGTGAAGCAAAGAGTTAGCTATTGGCCAAAAAATGGCTTCTTCTTATTTAATTTTTGGTTTCTCAAACCTCTTATAAATATGAGGTAGCTCCAACAAAATTAGAATGGTTGATGTGGTCTGTTAAATGACAATTACTTGCAAAATTTCCTCCTTGTTCAATTCTTTTTATTACAAAAAGGTAAAAAATCTACAAAATAATAAATACTTCCACAACAATTAATACTTCCCAAGCATAATCCTCAACAACTATATTATTGTTCCATGTGAATCTAAAGTGCAATGCAATAGGTTTTTTAGATGGAATACTTGCAAGAGGCCATGGGCTGGGATAAATGGTAATAGAAGCAGGTGTTCTAAATTTTTATCCGGAAATTAAACGTTAAGCAAAGGAACTAGTAAAAGTAGAAGAAAGATTTTTACGTGGAAACTTCAATTCTTGCGCCCAGAAGAAAAAATACCATGATCCATTTAGGATTTAAAGTCAAACTTCACTAAATAATAAGGTAATAATACCTTTGTTACAACCATTTTGGACTCAATTAAATCCCCCCCAATGTGATTTACTAATCGCAATGCTTGTTCCCACGCAAGAACAACTTTGATAATAATGTTCCTAATCGAGAATAACTGTTGGTTGTTCCTTTTATGAAACTGCTTCTTGTTCACCCTTTTAATACTTTTCTTTTGGGTTCCAGCCTTTGGAACTTTATTAATTGTTGTTGTATTCGGGCATTTACAGGATGTACGAGATTAATCTTCCATGATTTGTTTTAAGCTAAGTATTGTAAAACGTTTCCCATTTCAACGCAAAAGTTAGTTTATGATCAATTGATCATCAAATTCATGTTAAATCAATACAATAGTTGTTGAAGAGAGAGAAATTACAATACTATTCTTGTTAATAAAAGTTACTGTATGTAAGTATTTTCTTCTGCTACAAGTCTCTGTTTTGGAAAGTGTTACAAAATCACTTGGTGATAATTGCCCTAAATTTCTTTCTCTAGTATATTTTGTATTATGGTTTTTCTTAGGAAAAATGTAAGGGTTTTAACCCCGGCCAGGCCACATGACTATACTTTTTTAATTATGTATAAATCACAAAACGACACAGTTAAAGAAAAGTGTGTGTATAGTGTTCATGTTAAAATGTGTCAACTAAAAACATACGAAAGGATGAAGCTAGTATTGTCCTAAGAATGGATGAGCTAATGAGCATCAAAGAAAAAGGAGGATATTATATATGTATATGTTACAAATATATTCATTAGTATAAAAAAAGCTGAAGGAATACAATGGACATATGTAATTCAATTATACACTCTTTTAATTACTTTATTTCATTTTTATTTTGGGAACTTAGAATAATCCAGGAAAGGAGAGTTTGGTTAAGCTGCGCCGAATATTCGCTGCATTTGCATAACTTCCTTACGACTTAAGAGTGTGATTTTCTGGGCAATGTTAGCAGGTAAATTCCCAGCAAATAAAGAGGTAGGAGTGAGTTGTAATGCTGGGTTTGCACCATTCAAACTAACATAGGCAGTAGCCGGAGTTTTACCAACGTTGATTTGGAAGTGAACCATGGCTTGTGGAAAAACCATCACATCACCAATCTCTAATCTGTTATAGTATGCAGTGTTGTTTGTATCAATAAATCCTGCAATGATAGAACCTTTAACCAAAATAAGAACTTCTGATGTACGATGAGAGTGTATTGGAATTACTCCTCCTACGACAAAGTCTAACCTAGCCATAGATATGCCTAAACCATTAAAGGCTGGGAACACATTTGAAAATGCTAATGTCACGTTGTTCCCAAAAACATTGTTAGGAGTTTTTTCACCTCGGAAACCCGTGTAAACAAAATAATCAGTTGTAACTTTAGCAGGATCTTTGCAAGCATATCCTTGAGGTCCTCTAGGAAGACTAGGATCCCCAACACAAAAGTCGGAACTCTATGGCATGGGACAAAGTGGAAAAGAAACAAAAGACGAATAAAAATGAAAGATTGCTCAGTATTATGCAAGCTTGTTAATTTGCTATAGCTAGAAAGTTGGCGTTGGATTGTTAAAACAAGTATAAGTGTTGAAGGATAGCTTTTATATTACGGATTGGTTTCTTGCATTTTCTTAGCGGCAATTGGCACCCTTTATATACAGGAACAGTTTTTAGTCTTTATGGCTTGACTTGTTCAATTGTTCAAAAAGGGTATGATATTGTTTATTTTGTATATATGAAAGTCAAAGGAATAATTTGAGATTTTTAGTCAATTAATCCAATAATTTGATCACTGTCATGGTTTTATTGACTTGAATAACATTATCTTAAATTAATTTCTCTCATAATAAATACGTAGTGTCTAAAATAATTTGATCACCGTCATTGTTTTATTGACTTGAAGTACGAGGGTGGGGGTTGAATATAATTTGGGTAGGTGTTGGTAGACCTGGTTATTGGGCAGGGTAACCTAATGATAATAGGGTTAGGGCCAAGCAGGCATTTAATGGACAAGACCCTTATTGGGTGGGTCATTATAGGGCCAAAATATTTTTCCAATTTAATAGATAAAGAAATTCGAAAATGTAAAAGTATTTATATAGATAAATTTGTATTAATATATACTTAATAATGGCTTTATCCAATATTTATTTTAATTGATATTTTGTTGGCCCATCCAACATCGACTCGTTATTAACCTGCGACCCGAAATGGCCCGACCCGATGTTGACCTTATAAAATGTTACCTCTTTGACCCAACCCGCAATCGACCTACATCGACCCTGACCCGACTTGCCCAATAACCAGGTATAAGCTAAGTGTGGGTGGCCGCAGGAATTTTGGGGAAGGCCAAAGGGATGGGGATGCGGGGTAGGATGAGGTGGCTATGATAGGAAGGGAAAAAAATTTACCTATTGATGATCTACTATCATAATTACATACAAATATAAAAAACGCCCTATAAAAAAATAAAAACTATAAATAGGCAGCAGAATAATTATATAATTAATTATCAAAAAAAATTAAAACCTAGCCGCCCACGTCCCCTAGCCCAGCAACCACCCTGTTTCGACCTCCCCGCTAGCGCAGATTCCACCCTGAACCCCTGCATAGGCGCCACCCCTGAACTCGACCCCCAGTGGCGCCCCTCCCCCTCCCTTAGCTTGAACCACCCTTTTTGAACCCTAAAAACCCCCGACTCTTCCTCGATCGAAAAACCCTCCCTTAGCCTACCTACCGTCGGCACCCTAACCCCCTCCCTCGCGTCGGTGAACCCAATTCGCCCCTCCCCATGCCGTCTCCACCCCACTTAACCACCACATACACCAAAACCCTAAAACCAAAATCTAGGGTATTGATTTTGGTGTTTTAGGGTTTGGGGGTGGTGGTTTTCGGCAAGTTGGGTGACGAAAACCCGTGGGAGAGGGTTTGTGTAACACCCCGACCCTAAATAAGGGTAGGGCCGTATTGTCACGAAATGTGCATCAAGGGCCAACAACCGTCCTCACAAACCAACACAAGTACTTTCGATGCATTTTGTTCTCACTAATTAATGCGCACCTTGGGAATACTTCCCAGCAGGTCACCCATCCGAAGACTACTCCTAGCCAAGCACGCTTAACTAAGAAGTATCTTAACACATGAGCTCCCTAAAAGAAAGATGCATCTTGTTAATATAAGTACTATATTAAATTCCTTTAAAGCAATCATGAGGGGTATTACATACACCCCCACTTGAGAATGGCAACGCCCTCGTTGCGCTTAGAACCCTAGGGACAAGTATTACGCCCTGACGGCCTCTGGGTAGCCAAAGTGTTACATCCAGTCTGAATATGACTATATAGCCCCAGAATCCTCCCCCGCTAGGCGACTGACATAGGATTAATTATCCAAGATCAGCACGCGGTCGCAGGGTTGCTCTGATATCATTTGTAACACCTTGAACCCAAATCAAGATGTGGACTTTTGTTACGAAATGCACATCAAGGGCCAACAACTGTCCTCACAAACCAACACAAGTCCTTCCAACACATTTTCTCGTCCTCACTCATGCGCACCTTGGGAAAACTTTCCAGGAGGTCACCCATCTTAAGACTACTCCCAGCCAAGCACGCTTAACTGAGAAGTATCTTTAATACATGAGGTCCCTAAGAGAAAGATTCATCTTGGTTGTATGAGTAGTATATTAAATTCGTTTAAAGCAATCATGAGGGGAATTACAGTTTAAGCTGCCGACGAAGGGGTTTTCGGCAAAGGTGAGGAGGGGTTTTTTAAGTTCAAGGCATGGAGGGAGAGGGGATTCGAGGTGAGGTACGGCGGGAAGGGGGGAAATGGAGAAGGCTGGGGTCGGGGTTGTCGCCGGCAAGGGAGAGGGATGGGCGTCGGCTAGCCGAGAACTGGGCCAGGTGCCGGCCAACCGGAGGTGGGGGTCGAGGCTGGGCTAGGGGTGGCGGTGGCTAAGTTAGTGGTGTTTTTTTTAAAAAAAAATTAGAAGTTAATTAATTATATAATTAAATAAATAATATTAATAAGAATCAATTATAAGCTGCCACATGACACAATTAATGTTAATGACTAGCTGAGTTAACGGATATGACATGTGGTTATATGGTGAATTTAAAAAATTTTGTGGGTGTTTGATGAATTAAGATAAAACTTAGGGGTATTTGGTGAAAATAAAAAGGAAAAATTGGTTTTAATAATCTCAACTTTTCCCGATTTTCTTTTAATAATCGCAACTTTAGATTATTCTGGAATAATTCGAACTTTGGGGGTTGTTTTCTTTCTTCAATCCCAATGAGCGGTGACTGCCGATTGAATAAGTTTTGTATTTTTTTTAAATGACAAATTTCGCAAGTTATTGGTTAAAAAAATGCCAAAAAACAATTAAGAAATAAATTTTTTTAAAAAAAAACACACACTGCCCCACTCCTCACAGTTCTCACCCCAACCAAACCCCATTTCCCAAATATCCGGCCACCTAACCATTGACAGGCAGCTCCCACTCCCTCTCTCTCTGACGCTGGTAAACCGCAGCCCCCCTCCTATTCCCCATCCCCCAAAATCACAGCCTCTTCCTATTCCCCGTCCCAAGAAACCACTTTAACGGAAACCACCCTCAGATCACCCTCACCCTAACCTCCACCTAGGAGCAATTGGTGGCGGGTTGTTGTTGTTGCGAGTGCTGTGAGGATTTCGGCATCCAAAAAGGTAGGGAAAGCGAGCTGATCTCCTAATTTGTAGAACTATTTACTCGGGCGTGACGAGTTGTTGGTGTTGTTGCGGGGCAAATGTGGTTGGTGGTTATTTGTGAAATGGGGAGTTGGGGAGCTAAACGGCGGTGTTTGGTGGCTTCTGGGTGGAGTTAAGGCTGGGCTGTGGTGTTAGGTGTAGGGTAAGGGTGGAGATGGTGGTGGCTGGGTTGGAGTTAGTGTGAGGGTGAGGTGGAGGGGCTGCTAGTTTTTTTTTTTTCTTTTTTTTTTAATTTTTATAATTTGATTGGACTAATCATAATTTGACACATGTCATATAACCTGTTATAATTGGTCGTTGACTTTTGATGACCGATTTGGGACTGAAGAAAGAAAACATTGCCCAAAGTTCGGATTATTCCAAAATAATCTAAAGTTGGATTATTAAAAGAAAATCGGGCAAAGTAGGGATTATTAAAACCAATTTTTCCAAATAAAAACCTAAAATTAATTGCTTTTTTGAGTTGTCTAGAGTGGTATATAACATTATTTTAGAGTAGTTTGATTGCATTAAAAAAAAATAGTTTTAAATTTTACGGATTTTTCACCAAATACCACTGAGTTCTTTCGTAATTCACCATATACCACACAAAATTTTCTAATACACCAAATACCACTGAGTTTTTGGTAAATGTCACAACATACCATTAATGACTAACGGACGTTAACACCGTTAGTCATTAAGGCTAATAATTCCACGTGGCAGCTTGTGATTGGTTCCTTTCTAAATTATTTAATTAATTATAAAAAAAAAACCAAAAAAATAACAAAAATTAACAAAAAAAAAACCTGCTGCCACCACCAAATACCAATCTCTCAACTTTCTTCCATCTCCATTTCTTGATTGTCCATTGCAGAATATCAAGCTCCAATTCCCAGAAAACCATCAAACTACAATGGGGCTATTTTCAATGGCATTCACCGGCGGCAGTTTCATCCTTCTCGGAGCTTGGGAATCTCTCTCCTCTTCCTCCCAACCATTGCAACAACCACCGTCGATTCTCCACAATTACCCTTAACTCCGCCGCATCTCTCTCTCTCCTCTTCATCATCAACTCTCTTCTCTACTTTCTCATCTCCATTTGAAGGATTCTGATGAAATTGAGAATCGTTATTATGATTTAATGCTTGTTCCGATTGCAATTTGTGTGTTTTCTACTATGATTGAATTAGTTTCCCCGAATTCTGGAATCCCTAAATTAGGTCGTGGGTTAGGGTTAATCTTGAAGGGGACTTGGTTTGTGCAAATGGGGTTTTCGTTTTTTTCGGATTTGATTGCGAATTGGTTTCCCCAAAATCTGGAATCCCTAAATGGGGTTTTCGTTTTTTTCGAACTTGGTTTGTGCAAATGGAGTGTATTCGTGTTTTGAAAGAAGGTTTGTTGCTGAGGGTAATTACTCGAGTTACCGGCTTTAATGGATTCTTCCGCCATGGATTTAGACGACGAACTTGAAGATCTTCACCAGCAGCAACAAGACGACATCTCCATTCATCAAATTCATCAATTACGCAAGCTCCATGGGTGGGGTTTCAGTCGGGTTTTGGGTTTAAATAGGTGGGTGGGTCGCGACGGGAAAGAGGAGGGGAAGGGAATGGTCGCCGGCCGGCCGGGAAATGGACCAGGCGGCCAGCCGGGGGTAGAGGTCGGGGCTGGGCTGGTGGCAACAGTGGTTGAGTTGGAGGTGTTATTTTTTTTTTTTTAATTTTTTTTAAAGTTAGTTAATTAAATAAATAACATTAATAATCACCAATTACAAGCTGCCACGTGGCATAATTAACTTTAATGATTAACACCGTTAACGGAAATGGTATGTTGTGACATTTACCTAAAACTCAGTGGTATTTGGTGTATTAGAAAATTTTGTGTGGTATATGGTGAATTACGAAAGAACTCAGTGGTATTTGGTGAAAAATCCGTAAATTTTAACAATGGAAAAAACAGATATTATAATACACCCTAATGATAATAGTGCATGTATTATATGCTGATAATATTTTATACGAAGTATTGTAATAGTCGCGGAATAACATAATGGAAAAATAATTTGTCACAGAGTATAATTTATAATATCAGTTTATTAGTGATAGAGAATCACCTCTTAGGTTTATGATATATTTTGTATAAGTATATCCTTACATATCTCGTTAGTCACCTAATATTAATAGGACTCTCATTGTAACCCTATAAATATTGATCTATGGAAATCATTTGATTGAGGAGTTTTATATTATCTAAATTTTTGTTTTAAAAAATACAAATTTTTGTTCCCCTGCTGATGGGTTAGTTTGAAAACTAAACCCACCGGTGACATTCACAAACGATTACATAAAGACATTTTTTTTTTCCTTCCGCAATTTAATTATGGATTACGATGGTTGACCAACACCGGAAGCCTCTTATGTGCTCTGACTTCCAACCACACACAGGAGCTTCGTGCACCACCTTTATTACCTTTTGGTTCTCCACCTAATACGCCACCTTGCACACTCACAGTCCTCCTTCATTAGTCTAATTAGTGATTTGCATTTTGCATGGTGTATCCAATGACTAATAGTAGTCTTGGATGAACCAGACCTACGAGACGAACCACCCCTTTGTTAGTCTTCTTTTTCTTGATGTCGTTATTGGCAGAATATTCCTTGGCAGCAACAACACAATCAACAAAGTCGCCCTCCACCACCTTAGTTGTCGTCCTGCTCCAAGCCCCCTTCCCAAGCTCCCAGCGGAGGTGTTCTTCTTTGGTTGGACTTGGAGCCTTGTTAAACTACGTACAATAACAACTTAGAGGGAGGTGTTGGATTTTTTACACAAGCAACAACTTTTTTTTGACTTTTTTAATTTTTTTTTTTTTACTTTTATCGCAAGTGCATGCGGTGGACTACGTCTTTCTTTAAGTCCAAGGGCTACTTGTTTTAAGTTGGTGGAATTTATCTTGTTGTGTGGTCTTTTTTTCCTTTTTTTCTAGAGGTAAGTAATTCCTAATGGTCAAGTGGTGGGATTTAGGCTATCTTATTTGTTTTTCTTCAACTGTGATTTCTCGTAGTAGTGTAGTGTCTTCTCCTCGATGATGATTTGATCCCTTAGCTTCTTCTTCTGCAACTTGGCCCAAGTTTGTGCGCGGCTCTTCTCCTCCTCCTCCGGCCAAGCAGCGCTTATCTTTACTCTATGTAGGTAGTGGCTGTTGCTTCTCATCGTCATCACCAACACACGTCTACTACTTCTCTTTTGATCATGGGTTACCATTTTGATCATGGGTTACCATACTATACTTACCGTTCGATGCGTGATTTAGATCCAGTTTGAGCATCTGATTTGCTCCCGCTCCGACTGCGGAGGTGTGATAGAGAATATTTATAGAATATTTTCCTTTTAGGTTTATGATATATTTTGTATAAGATTATCCTTACATATCTTGTTAGTTATCTAATATGATTAAGAATCTCATTGTAACCCTATAAATACTAATCAATGGAAATCACTTTAATTGAGGAGTTTTATATTATCAGACGTTCAGTTTTAAGATACCCATGTATAGTAGTTTAGGAGTACATATAATACACTATTATTTAGGAATCAAACTAAAAATTTATGATACATAATGACTTCACAATATGAAAATACAATAATTGGAAATCAGTCATAAAACAAGTTTATGCTAAAAACGCTGTGTATAGTTAGAGAGTATAAGTATTATTATCCTAGGAAAGTAGGAAGTGATGAGCGTCAAAGAAAATTAAAGGGGGGATTTTTTATTTTTTATTTTTTGGACGAAAATAAAGTATGTATCAGTATTCAACTTAAAATAAATAACAAAAATACAAGTACGGTACCGTGTATTTATTGATACAAACAAATGAAAGAATACAAAGGACATAAATTATTTATACATTTTTTTTATTGCAAAACTTCATAATTTATTACGTTGGAATTTAGAATAATTCGGGAAAGAAATTTTGTTAAGCTGTCCCGAATATTCGCTTCATGCGCATAACTTCCTTTTGACTCACAAGTGTGATTTTCTGGGCAATGTCAGCAGGTAAGTTCCCAGCAAATAAGGCGGTTGGAGTGAGTTGTAGTGCTGGGTTTGCTCCATTCAAACTAACAAATGCAGTAGCCGGAGTTTTGCCAACATTGATTTGGAAGTGAAGCATGGCTTGTGGAAACACCATGACATCACCAACCTCTAATCTTTTATAGTATGCAGTGTTATTGGTATCAATAAAACCTGCAATGATTGAACCTTTAACCAGAATAAGAACTTCCGACGTACGATGGGAATGTACTGGGATTACTCCTCCTACGGCGAAGTCTAACCTGGCCATAGATATACCTAAACCATTAAAAGCTGGGAACACATCTGAAAATGCTAATGTCACATTGTTCCCAAAAACATTGTTAGGAGTTTTTTCACCACGGAATCCTGTGTAAACAAAATCATCAGTAGTGACTTTTGTAGGATCTTTACAAGCATAGCCTTGAGGTCCTCTAGGAAGACTAGGGTCCCCAACACAAAAGTCGAGCTCTATGGCATGAGATAGGGTGGCTAGGAGACAAAGGACGAAGAAATATGAAAGATTGTTCATCGTATAAGCTTTCTAATAGCTAGAAGGTGTTGTAAGGTGGTGTTTGATCGTTAACTTAATACCAATGTAAGTATTGAAGTCTAGATATAATGTTGTAGATGTGTTTGATGTGTTTTCTTAGAGAAAATTGGTACCCTTTATATAGAGGAAACATTTGGTCAGTATGGCTTGTTTTGTTCAATTCGTAACTGGTGTGATATTCTTTAGTTGGTATGAAAGTCAAAGAAATACATATTTGTATTTAAGATGCGGCTGAAAATCTTTTTTTTTTTAGTCTAATTTTTGTCAGCGTTGTTGTTTATATTGACTTGAATATTATCTTCAAGTAAACTTTCTCGAAATGGTATGTATGAGTTTAATAAAATAATATTATCTTCAGTTTAATTGTATGGGTTTGATTAGGAATTTAGGATACTCTTTAAAAAAATATTATCTTCAAATACCACATTGAAGCTTCTAGGGCTCCGGAGATCTTGCCTGCATTTCGTATTTTATTTCTAAATTTCTTGTATATAAGACCAAGTCAAGCTGACGAGAATACCAAATTGTATGGGTTATAGAGAGTAGTAAAGGGTGGCTATGAGTCTATGACACAAAATGTACAGTGCTCTGTATAAATATTTAGGTATTATTTTCTAAATACTTTGTAGTTAACCGATTAAACTAATTAACAATTATAATTTTAGGAAAACTTATCAATAACTTTATACTAAAAGCAAAATCAAAAATATTTTTTAAAACCTAACGCTCCTCCTCTCTTCCTCTCTTCTAGGTTTTTTTAACTTTTTGGCTGTTTAGGCCGAAAGTAGTGTAATTTCATCGGAAATTAGACTATTTCCTACTCTTTTCCCGTTAAATTTTTTAGTTTTGCAATTTAAATTTCAATAAATCTACACAAGTAGTGTAGATGTTCGTTCGTCTCTTATGGTGGAATCGTTAGTTTTTATTAGTTTAGCTACTTTTTTTTTAGGGTTTTTTTTTGTATGTTATGATTATTAAAAAGGTAATCCCTTTTGCTCTATTATCAGTTCGTTGGTAAAGATTTGTCCGTGATCGCAACGGTTGTCAAATCTTTAAAGGCGTTCAAGTGAATCAGATGAAAATCATCCTTACGGATACAACAAATCGTTAGACCGTCTCTAAGAAAAAGCTGTATATTCCAGCGATGTGTGCGAGAGATGTACCACATTGCAAGATCTATTCAACAATCATGGCTTTGATGAAGGATACCCTTATTTAATTCAATTTTATTTATTTGTTGATTTAAATTTCATTTGTAGATGTCGTATGGCTTTTGATTAATGAATTGATTTGTTTCAAAAAAAAAAAAAAAATCAGAAATGAAACATGTCATTTACTGGTTAAAAATTTTCCCTCCAATTTTCCATTTCGGTTTTTTTTTTTTTTTTTTTTTTTTTTTTTTTTTTTTTTGTAAAAACTCCAAGAAAACTTTTTATAACCTATGATATTTTCTCTCCCGGTTGACAATCATATTTTTTCCATATACACTCATTTGGAATATTTTTACACATCTTTATGTATTTTTTTATTTACAAAAAATGAACATATTGATTATTATATAATACTATTATCTAAAATTCATATAACATTATCACTTTTTTTTCTTTATTTCAACTTTACTATTTTTGCAGCAAACTTTATTTCAATTTGAAGAGAAAATTCATTTTGGTAACATATATATATGCATATACTATATTTGTATTAATATATTGAGAGTGAGGGATAGCTCTAGTGGTTAGAGCTCTCTTCTCGATTCTAGGTGATCCTGGGATCGATTCTCATCACCCGCCCTTGTGGCTTTTTAAACACCAAATATATATAACAACACGGGTATTAATCAAAAATTTTTGTCAAAAAAGTTAATCAAATTTTTTATTTTTAAAGTAAAAAGCTCTATAGATCAGAGCTTAAACTTTATTTTTAAAACATAAAGTATAATGCTTCAATAATCTTGATATTTGTAAAAGGTATATAAAAATAAAATGTATACCATTATTTACGTAAAGTACTATTAAATTAGCATTGCAATTTTTTACAATATAAAAGTTAGTAACAACATTGCGTTGCATGGGACATAAGCTAGTTATATTACAGTTATGAGTTTGTGGGTTTTTTTTATAAAAAAAATGTAAAATACTGAATTAATTGCTTTAAAAATATTTCGATTTAAAATTATGCTATTGTAAATAACTAACAATTAGCATTACACTAGATAATTAATTCCTGAGTCATGCTCAGTTTTAAAAATTAATAGTAATTGAAATATAAAAGTTTCTATTGAAATGTAGCTAAATAGTCAAGCATAATAGTTAATAAATATACAAAGTAATTAAATTCTTAAGCATTATAATGATTCGAAGGAAAAAAAATAGAGATAAAGTAGAGTTTAGGAGAGAAAACTCCCTCCCAAAATAACTTCACTTTACTATTGGTATACAGACAAGGTGATTTTTTTTTATATCGTTGAGGGTTAATTTTATTAAAAAAACTAAATAATAATAATAATAATAATAATAATAATAATAATAATAATAATAATAATAATAATAATAAGAAGAAGAAGAAGAAGAAGAAGAAGAAGAAGAAGAAGAAGAAGAATAATAATAATAATAATAATAATAATAATAATAATAATAATAATAATAATAATAATAATAATAATAAGGCACAGGGGGGAGAAAGTGTGCGCTTTCCTCCGAGCAAGTTCGGCAGCCATGTCAGTGGGCACACGCACTCAATCTTCCTCGGAAATTAGGCAAAATAAACAAATATAAACACAGAAACATAAGAATCCGAAGAAGAATAAGGAGAAAAATAGTACTAGTGAAATAATGGAGGATGCAAATGTAAACCCAGATATTGAAAAGTTTATGGAGGAGCAAATTCTTTCACCAGAAGCTTCGATGGAAGAATTGGAGCAGCGAGAAAGGGTTAGGCAGACATTTTCAGACTGGGTTAGTGCAATGAAAGCTATCTCGAAGGTCAAATCGAATATGCAAGGTAACCCAGATTTTCAACCTTTTGTTTTTCGTGTTGATTCTGCTTCTAAGAATTTATAGGAAAAATTTGATGCTGTAATTGAGTTAAATGATGATCAAAAGTGTTGATTGCATCAAAATTGATATGGATGACATTCAAGAAGAAATTGATTTTTGGAATTTATCTATAGTTTGTTACATTTGTGGGGCAAACCCGCTAATTTCTGTAGTAGAGGGGTTTTTTAGAAGAATTTGGAGGAATTTGGGGGTTGATAAGGTAGCTATGAAGGATAAGGGTATCTTCATTGTTAGTTTTATTACTTTGGAGAATAGGGACAAAGCTCTATTTGGACCTAAAATCTTCCTTGATAATAAGCCTGTTTTCTTGAAACCTTGGGATCTGGATACGACAATTTCACAGGAGGAATTCAAGATAATCCCAGTTTGGCTTCAGGTGCAGAATCTGGATTTGAAGTATTGTGGGGAAAGATCTCTGAAGAAAATTGTTGGATCAATGGGAAATTGGGTGAAAACGGATCAAGCTATTGCTAGAAGAGAGAAATTGCAATATGCTAGGGTCATGCTAGAAGTTGGAGTGGATCAATCACTCCTAGAGAGTGTAAGCTTTGTGAATGAGAAGGGAAGTTGGGTCTTGGTCAGTTTGAAGTATGAATGGAGACCAATGTTGTGCTCTCTGTGCAAGAAGTTGGGACACACGGTTGATGTTTGTAGAGGCAAGAAAAAGAAAATTTGGGTTCCTAAAGGAAAACTGATGCTAAAGAAGCCTGTAAACTCAGAAACAATAGCAAATAAACTTGTTCTAGAGAAGAATAAGGCTATAAAAGATGAGATAGTGAGAACTGGAGAGAAGGAGAAAGAAGGTGAATTTCAAGAGGTGATGAAATCTTCAAGCAAATCATCTGAACTAGTGTTTAAAATAATAATTAGTAATCCTTTTGTTGTTCTAGATAAGGGTGAAGGGGAAGTAGATCAGAGTAACTTAGTAATACTGATGCAGTAAGCACCAAAGCTGCAGAGGGAGGAATACCCTCTGACAGCAATGGATAGAATAATATCCTGGAATGTAACGGGTGCCAACTTGACCAGGAAGCATTAAAAGATTAAGCAATTTCTGGTTGATCAAAATTGTGGTCTCGTTGGTCTCTTGGAAAACAAGGTGAAATCTCAGAACATGGGAAATCTCTACCTTGGGGTTTTTGATGGCTGGAATATCACCTGTAATAATTGTTCCCTAAATAGAGGCAGAATAGTGGTTGCTTGGAAATCTCAATCCTTTGAGGTTGATATTGTTATGTGTACAAGTCAGTTGATTCATTGTATTGTAAAATCTAAAAGCATGAAGGAAAGTTTTCACTACACTTTCATCTATGCTTTTACTACTAATATTGAAAGGGAGGTGTTGTGGAATGACCTTAGAGTATTAAGCAGTAGAATTGATGGGGCATGGATAGCTCTTGGTGATTTTAATTGTGTCCTTGAGATTTGTTCAAGAATGCTGAGATGTATTTTCATAATAAGAAGGATTTTGATCATTGCCCTGGAGTTGTTTCTGTCTTCCCAGAGTAGAAGGAGGGAAAAAAACCTTTCATATACTTCAATATGTGGAGCAGGAAACCTGAATTTCGGGATAATGTGAAGCAAGCCTAGGAGGAAGATGTGAAGGGTACCCCAATGTATGGAGTTGTACAGAAACTCAAAAGGGTAAAGAAAATGCTTGTTGATCTTAATAAGCATGGTAATTTGAATATTGTGGTGTAGTAGAACTTGTCTAAATCTGAGTCAGATAAATGTCAATTTGAACTCCATAAAGATCCCAAGAATCTGGAGCTGAGGGAGAAAGAATTGACAGCAAAAAAACACATGATTCTAGCTCAAGATGATTACATTTCATACTTGAGACAGAAAACAAAAGTGAACTAGATAAAAGCAGGAGATCAAAACACCATGATCTTTCATAGATCACTGAAGAAGAGTTTCAAAACAAGATATATACTATTCAGAATATGCAAGGTGAGAATTCTGATGATATTCTTAAAGCTTTCCTTGAGTATTATGAGTACATATTGGGAACCTCTACAGAAGAAAGGAAGCCTGTAATGAGCATATTGTCCAGCAAGGTCCTTTGTTGAACGAGGATTTGCAAAATGTACTGTCAGCACCTTTTAGCAAAGAGGAGGTGAAAGCAGCCATGTTTGACATTGATGAGAACAAAGCTCCGGGGCCAAATGAATTTGGGAGTAATTCTGTAAAGAATGCTTGGATATAATGGGTAAAGACATCAGTGAAGCTATTCTTAACTTTATGGAGACTGGTAAAATTCTGAAAGAAGTTAACACTACTTCCATAACCTTGGTTCCTAAAACTAAATGTCCTATGAATGTCAAAGAGTTCAGATTAATTGCTTGTTGTAACATGGTTTACAAATGCATCTCAAAGATGCTTTGTGAAAGGTTAAAAAAGGTAATTCCTGAGATAATAGCTGAGAACAGAGTGCTTTTGTGCACAGTAGATATGTTGTGCATAATATCATGGTTTGTCAGGATCTAGTGAGGAATTATAATAGGAAAGCTGCCCCTCCAAGCTGTCTTATTAAGTTGTATCTGATGAAATTTTATGATACCGTGGATTGGGATTTCCTAGAAGAAATGATGAATGCTCTACAGTTTCCTGACCACTTCATTAAACTCATTATGGTGTGTGTCAGATCTCCTAAGTTTTCACTAATGATAAATGGTTCATTACATGGTTTTTTTGGCTCAAAAAGAGGATTGAGATAGGGAGATCCCATTTCCCCTTT